ACCACTACCACTACCACTACCACTACCACTACCACTACCACTACCACTACCACTACCACTACCACTACCACTACCACTACTACTACTACTACTACTACTACTACTACTACTACTACTTCTACTACTACTACTACTACTACTACTACTACTACTACTACTATTATCATTACTGTTTCCATTATGATTGCTATTTTCTTCTACGTGTACTGCTACCATTCGTCGTCGCCGCACGCGTCGGCGTCGCCGCCGGTCGTCGTTATCGTCGCCGCTGGTCGTCGTCATCGTCGCCGCCGCCACTCGTCGTCGTCGTCGTCACCGCCGTTCTGGCCGGTCATTGTCGTCGTCGTCGCCTTCGTTTTCGTTGCCGTTGTCGTTGTCGTCGCCGCTGCTGGTCGTCGTCGTCGTCCTCGTCGTCTTCGTAGTGCTGCTGCTACCATCACTACTGCTAGTACCATGCCCGAGCCCGCCACGTTACCGTTACCCCGATCGGCGGCCGTACCCCCCAAGGACGTTGCCAATATCAGGCCCGAGCCTGCCACGATACCGTTACCCCGCACGGCGGCCGGACCCCCCATCCCCGTCACGAGCTTTGCGTTGCGGGAATAACGAGCGGCCTCTAGTCTCGACTCGCAAGAGCCAACAAGATGACATGGGAGGCTCCCGGGAGTTCTTCAGAAAGATGTTCGAAGAAGAATCAACGGCATATGCACGTATTTCTGGAGGCCGCGCAGATTTCTTGGGTCTGCGATGCCCCCCCCCTGTCAGAACCCTGAGCTATCAGGGCAGGAGGTGGTCAGGGAATCTACCTCTGATTCGGCTCTCGTTTCTTCGCTGGAGCTGCCACTCAGTTCGAGTCTTCCCAGGTCACATTCCGCCCCACGTAGATATTGCCCGGCACACTCCTGAGACAGGAACCATCCCGAATCAAGCCGTTCCAGGGGTTTTCCGGCCCACACCTAGTGGCACGCCAGACAAGGCGCTGCCCAGACCAGGTCTATCCCGGATCGTCCGTGTGCCCACGTAATCACAAACGCTCGGAGGTCCGCGCGGATTTCCTGGATCTGCGCTGGACCCCCCTGGCGGCGCCGCTGTCGCCGCCCCTGCCGCGGGGGGATGTGGGGTCGGCGCCGAGCTCAGAAGTCCGCGCGGACCTGCTTATGCCGTTGTTTTCTTCTCCCAGTTCGTGTGTGCCCCACTGGGGTGGTTCGGATGCAACTCCTGGGATGTCAAATTCTGTTTTTGCCCTGGTCCGAAATCTGGCTTGATCCGGGTTAATCTGGCTTGATCCGCTTAAACCCGCTTCATCCGGCTTAATCCGAGGCCCACTCGGGGGCGTAACAGCCCCCTCCAATGGGGCTCAGTCCCACTTACTCTTTCCGACGAAGACCTCCCAGTAGCTGCCTCCCAAGGGCGGCTTGGCGTGCGCCCTCGGCGGTTCTTGGCCGTGCGCTGCTTCCTTGAAGGCGCGCGCTCGGCGGAGCTGCCACGGTCGGCACGCCTGACGGTGGTCCGGGCTGCATGCGCCTCCGCCCTCCTCGCGCCCCTCCCCCGTCTGGCGTCCCTTCGCGCAGCGATTCGAGCAGGGGATCGACTGCGTGATCAAGGGCGCCCTCGAGGGCGCGAAGTTCTTCGCGCTTCGCGCACCCCTCCTCATCCTCCTCTTCTCCCCTGGGAGGCGGCGCGAGAGCGCGAAGTTGTTCGCACTGCGCGAAGTTGGGAGCCCTTAGTCATTCGATTAAGCCATAATCGAATTGTTCGTCGGATCCATGAGGAGTGCGAGTAATGTTTGCGATTCTACGAGCATTCTGCATACGACTCGACGAGAGAAGCAGTTTCGGGGCGTGAATTCATTCTGTCGTCGATCCCTTACTCGAGCGATGAGAGTTGCTGACAGTGGGCGTGGCCATCGGCGTCCCCTCCCCCTGCGCCCCGCCAGGGCCCACCTCTCTGCCGGGGCCCGGGAGGGTCGGTGCAGGTGGGGTTCAGTCGGGCATGTCCCTTTACAGGAGGAATATTAAAACATAGTCAAAGAATAGGCTGGGGCCGTTGTATGTATCTATATATATATAAAAATATCTAGTTTTGGGTATTATTGGACTATTTTCCAATTTTCCCCCAACATCTGCCTGCAGGGGGACATGCCCGACCTAAAGGTAGGGAGGAGAAGTCCCCTCCCCCCTCCGCCCCGCCCCTGCCCAGCCCGCCCTTCGCCGGGGAGTCTGGCGGTCGCTGCAAGTGTGCACACTGGAGACCCGTGCCAAGAAGCACCGGGCTTCGAGGGTTTTGCCATGGGAGGCGTGACGTTCCCGCACCAAAGGTCCATGGACGTCCTGGGGTCTCAGGGTTGGGTTTCTTGTGGAAGGTTTCTCGTGGACTAGCCTCGGCTGTAGCTTCCCTCCCTGGGCCCTCGGGGTTCGCCTCGACATCCTGGTCAGAACGCACCCCGGGAGAGGTTCAGGGGGGTAGCGGTATCGGTACTCCCAGCAGCGGCGCTGGTGTATCCGCAGTCGAAGGCCGCCCTACTCCGACCAAGTTCCGCTGAGTCTGGTACAGTGCCGTTTTTAATACATGCTCCGCGTGCGGATGATGTATTAAACATGCAGGGATTTAGTATGAAAAACAAAGATGAGTTCATGCATACATTTATTCATCAATTAATCATGTATTAAAAATCCGATACTTTGAAACATCCTATGTATCAAAAACTGGCCTGTGCAACCCCCGCTTGCGGTGGCCCACACATCCGGCTACAATGGCCCCTCAGCCAGGTTTGGTAGGCCCCAGTCGTTCCCGCGAAAACCTCTCAGCTGTTGCCTCTTCGTGTCCCCAGCTCAGGGTGGCCACGGAGGCGCGGCGCGGTGCCGAGTCTGGCCAGCCGGCCGGCCCCTGCCCCGCCCCGAGGGCCCGCGCGGCCCGGGCCCCGAGGGCCCGCTGGGAGGACGCCCGAGGCCCCGCAGGGCCTCGGGGGCCTGCCGCTCGCGATCGCGCCCGGCAGAGGGGGGGTGGGGGTCAGGGGGGTATACGGGGGGAGAGGGTTCGTGACAGAAGGTCTCCTCGTGGAGGGGGGGTGCCCAGCGAGGCAGCCACCTCCGACCGCGCGGCAGGTCTTCCCACCTGTACCTCGCCAGAAGAGCAGCCCTGGCCCCCCGCGGAGGGGGAGGGGTGCGCTCCTTGGCAGCCGGCGAGCAGTTTGGGCCAGGGCCTGCATCCATGTAGTACCCAGGGGTCCAGCTCTTGTTCCATGCAGCTGGTGACAGAGATTCTCAACCGTCCTTATCCTTATCCTCATCCTCATCCTCATCCTCATCCTTATTCTTATCCTCATCCTCATCCTCATCCTCATCCTAATGCTGCTGCGATTCGCATTATTACGACTACTACTACTCATATTCTCATGTACTACTAATACTCATTGTACTATGAGCATATTTGTTATCATTATTGTGATGCTTTCTTATTATTGCTATTACTAGTATCGTTACACACTGCTATTGTTATTACTATTCGCATTAGTTCTTTATTATTATCAGCAGAATTACTATCTTCAGTCGCATCAGATTTTTTTCGTTGCCATAATAGTTGTTTGCTGTTCTTTTTGTGTCAAGATTTATGCTGTTTGTATATTCGTAGAATGAGTTTATATTTCGAACCATATCATCATTATCATGATTCTCATGATTATCCTTATCATCATCGTTATTATCGTCCTTATGACTTATCCTCCTCCTCCTCCTCCTCAACCCCCTGCTCCTTCGGTAATTAGCAAATCATGGGAGCCCTGTGTGCTCTTGAAGTCCCGTCTTTAGAGAGCATGAGCGTCGATCGGTGTCCGGTAGTCTATTAGAACGCGCACATTCAGCGTCGAGTCGCATCGATTTATCGTCGGTTAGCGTTGATTAGCGTCGATCTAGCGTCGACTAGTGTCGATTTAACTTCGACTAGCGTCCATTCGCAAGCGCCAGCAAGATGACTTGGAAGGCTCCCAGGCGTTGCCACCGAATCCTCCTCTTCCTCCTCCTCCTCTGTGGCCGTCCCAGCGCAGGCCGAGACCTGTTGCGTGCGTCGCCTTGCGGCTGCCTCTCTTCGTTTTAAGATGAACATCGTACCAGGCGGTGCGACCCACGCTTAGCTGGCGGCGCGTAAGCCGGGATCACGTCGAGGGGCGCAGCTTCCAGGGACGCGCCAGGCCTCTCGGAGGCCACCCTGCCTCCTGAAATGCCGCCTTACGAGAGGTTCTTGCACCGCGTTGACGCGGCGGCGACGCCAGCGCGGGCGCTCACGGCTGAGCTCCAGCAGCTGCCTGGCCTCGGCCACTATCGATCGAGCCCCGCTGCGGGAACGCGGAGGTCGATCAAGGTTGAACGATCCACGCGGTGCCAGAAACAACTGCCCTGATTGTCGCGACGCGAACCTGGTGTAGACGCCTCGAGGAGGAGGCGGAGGACCAGGAGGAGGAGGAGGAGTACGAGTAGGAGTAGGAGTAGGAGTAGGAGTAGGTGTAGTAGTAGTAGTAGTAGTAGTAGTAGTAGTAGTAGTAGTAGTAGTAGTAGTAGTAGTAGGAGTAGGAGTAGGAGTAGGAGTAGGAGTAGGAGTAGGAGTAGTAGTAGTAGTAGTAGTAGTAGTAGTAGTAGTAGTAGTAGTAGTAGTAATAGTAGTAGTAGTAGTAGTAGTAGTAGGAGTAGGAGTAGGAGTAGGAGTAGGAGTATGAGGAGGAGGAGGCGGGAGAGGAGGCGGAGGAGTCGGAGGCGGAGGAGGAGGAGGACACATTTTGTAATACTGAAGCTACTACTACTGCTTGTACTACTACTACTACTACTACTACTACTACTACTACGACTACGACGGCGACTACTACTACTACTACTACTACTACGACTACTACTACAACTACTACTAGTACTACTAGTACTACTACTGCGACTGCGGCTACTACTGCTGCTGCTGCTAAAACTACTGCTACGACGACGACTACTCTTACTACTACTACTACTACTACTACT